TTATTATTATTATTATTATTATTATTGCTATCATTATTATTAATGTGGTTAATTTCAGTAAGTTCTGTTTTGTTCTTATTTCTCATGTAAACTACATAGGATACTGTATAGTCGTAATATATATTATATTGTTGATTGGTTAGTATACGTGTTGACAGTAGTTCAGGTAGACTAGGCTACTTTCGATGATGAATAAAACAGTAAACAGTTCTAATACATAAAAACAATAACAACCATTAAAATTATGTACTCACTTTCTTCATTTTATCCTTATCTTTAGAAATGACCTTCTATATTTTACATATCGAATGAAGTTGAAATGAATGAGAAAGAAAAAAATGATAAATGAGTTGGTGATTGAGATTATCAGTTGTTTCCTCACTTACTCACTATCCCCCACCACCCGTTGAATTTAACTCAACTCGTGTTGACGACATCAACAGAGCATAAAGGAATAGGTGTATATTTCATTCTCTTGTCTCACTAAAAGCATATCATCAATAACAGTAAACTGAGTTGCATTTTATGTGACATTCTTAGTATACATTAGTTGAAGTCGATCTGATTTTCCACAGCCTATGGCTTCTTAATTCATAAATAGACACACACACATACATAACTACTACATTGTAACTTTATAAATGCCTTGACAACAGGCGTGTCCATGTACTGGAGATGGAGTCAATATCTGTATATCTATCATGTAAGTAGATGATGCTTAACCAATGCATTTACATATACACGTACAGGAGAACAGATTTTATACATTTTATTTCAGCAGACACTTTATGTGATGCTTAAATTATTTGATTGTAGCGTGATTTCAGTCTCTCTCGTTAGTGTGCTTTTTGAAAAAGGTTGATCAAATGGTAGGCAGTGATTTTAGAGTCACACCCTAGCAACAAATGAAATAAACCAATCACACTTCTCTATTTTATGAAAATCTGCCTTTCCAGCTAAAATGGAGAAAACTAATTGGTTATTTCAGTCGTTGCTAGGGTGGTCTTTAAAGACGCCAGATGCTAGGACTAACTTTAAAGGCTAGCCTTGACAACTGGTCAAACAACCAATCAGGTGTCTGTACTCTATGAAAAATTGTCTTCCCAGATAAAATGCCTCAACGTGATTGGTTATTTTAACAGTTGTTTGGCTTCCCTTTAAAGTCACTCCTACCATTGGGCTACTTTAAAGGCCGCCCAAACAACTGCTATATTAACCAATCAAATTTCAGAATTTAGACCGGCAAAGTAGTTTATCATGGATTAAAGGAAAGTAAATGGTTATCTCACTGGTTGTTGGGGTAGCCTTTAAAGTCATTAAGTGGTAGGTAGGTAGGTTGTGTATATGAAATAAATTAAGCTAACTGGATTTTTTTCTGTGATCAAAAACGCCAACAAAGAGGAAAAGAGACAGAAACAGAGATGGAGACCAAGTTTTTTGAGAAAAAAATCAATACAAAAGAAACTCTCGAAAGTCGTAGGTATTAGAGTGAAATAAAACAGAGATTGTTTTAATATCACACTAATTTATATCACGAATCAAAAACAGTTACAAAATCACTGAATACTGACCAGAGTTGAAAAGCTATTTGTTCACAGTTTAGAATTGTTTATCAGTGTTTGATGGAATGAGTCAATCAGAAAGAGGCCGCACTCGATCTAGGTTTCGTATTTGTTTGTACACATCAGCAACGCTTATCCACAACCATTTGGTGGGAAAATGTGTCACTCATGACTGAAGTCACATCTATTTCGTGACTGTCATCTTCTGCAGTGAGAATGCTATCATCCAGTTATGTTCTCCGGCTATTTTGTTAATGAGATGTGAACTGTAAGATGAAGAAATATTATTAGGAAAACAGATGCTGATCAGTGACACTAAATCGCAATAATTTCATTTAACCAATTAGTATAAGATGCAAAACATAGACAATTTCATTCCAAAGTCATGATTATGTAGTAATATGCTCACCGAGTGAAGTGACGATCTTAATTCCTTTCCTGAGTGTGGTGATAGATCTATGCCTAAGTTTAAAACATTATGCAGAAACGACTACCCAGTCCCTTTTAATTATGAACACTTCTATAAAAGACGTACATTCATCATCACAACTGCTTCAGAGCCAATCTCTGTTAGGCGATAACTAATAGTTGAAATGAACTAATTATAGTTATCACCTAAAGATTCGACATGGACAATTTTCCAAACTCTGGTGATATATATAACTTTGCGAATAACAGTGAATACCATACTTCACCTAGTCTTTTGTAAATAAGAATATCTTGATGAAAAGCCACATACTGCATCCATCGCAGTATATAACATGATAGTCTTTTTCACAGGGTTTCAAGAAACCATCAAATTACATCATCATCATAAGGATATATAGACACATAGGTGTACAGGTAGATATTTCATTTCGACTTGGTATCAACATGGTTGCACACAAAGTATTCAGCTCTCAAAATATGTACATTGTAACTTGACCTATAAGATAGATCGAAAACTTCACACTCTTCAAACATGAATTAGTGAATCGGAGAGTATCCGGCCATTATGCTGATTTGGCTAACCCTAATATCACAGCTTTTAAAATCTGAGCCTTGATGCACTCTGCATTATTAGTTTGGTGGTAATGATTCAGCTAGGCGATGTGTACATGTTCTGTCGGTTACAGAGTAAGTCACTAAGATATAGGTAAATAGTAAGCTACCAGTTGATACTTCTTTAAGACTACTCGATATTGGTGGTGGTGGCTAGGTATATTCATCACCTCTGTCTTCTCTACGTTCACCTTAAGGAAGTCCCGTCTTCGCTGCCCTGCCCTACCTCTTCTGTCAACTTATTGGCTTTTTCTTGTGGATTTTGAGTTTGTGTGACATGAGACATTAGACATAAATCATGATCGTTGAAATCTAAATCTTCTGTGGTCTTTTCATCAGTGGAATAGCCCCTCTCTTTCTTTCTCGCATTTTGTTGAGTTGATGAATTCCACTATCAAAGGACTAAGAACGGACATTTTTTTTATCGATCATTGTCAATAAGCATAAAATCCAGGTTGGTATCATCTTTTCATTTAAGATAAGAATTCAATAATTATCAAGTGAAACATCAGTGAGTTTTCTATTACTTCCGTGATAAAAGAAATCAATTTCTGGGAAATTTATTACATGCGTTTATCAAGAAGTTGGTTAGATTCCATCACGTAACTTGAGCTGGCTTTCTGGTGCATATTTGAACTCATTAGCAACAGTGATCTGTAACTTTTAATAGTGATACAGTATCATTCAAAATACTGTTAAATGAATTGATTTCATTATCTCAAAACACGACCAAGTTTGTAAGTGTCTAGGGGTTTTCATAAAAGTCCGATTCCACTACACATATCATACAACTTGTAAGATTTGACAATGAATACTGAAGAGAAATCTTAAAGTACTTTAGTTTGAAAAAGCAGTTCCCTTTCTCCCATTGCTAGATGTTTACTCCCGTCACCAGGATAAATTGACAAAAATCCCTCCCTATCTTACTAAACTGTCGCCTACGTAATGTCTCTAATTCACTCGACATCGTACGAAGTATTATTAGGCAAACGCATCATTTACAGATACTAGAAACCGATGTCTTCCCGAGCGACATTAAAGGACCACCTTAGCAACAAAGGAAATAACCAACCACGCTTCTCTATTTTGTGAATATCTGCCTTTGTTGCTAAAGCAGCTTTTTAAGTTTCCCTGTCTTCCCCATAAATTACTTCGAAAGTAGTTCGTTTCAATATTAACAGTTTTGTGTGATTCACCTTAAAATCACACTGGCTATTTATCTCTGGCACAAACGCATTTCTTTATTATTACCTCCTGATTGGCTGTTTTTCGACCAATGATCAATTAGATAATTATTTTATTTTAGAAGTAATATTCATCATGGACTGACATCAGCTGGGGAAGCATTGGAAATCTGAGAGCACTGAACAGCTGTTTCGTCCTGGTGTGGGACTCCACAGCACCCACGACCCGGCTAGGGATTAAACTCAGGACCTTCAGGTTTCACGGAGAACGCGTTAACCATTTAGCCACTGGGTCGTGGGTGCGTACTGCTGCGAAGTCCCATACTAGGACGAAGCAGCTGTCCAGTGCTCCCAGATTTCCAATGCTTCCCCAACTGATGTCACTCCATGATGAATACTACTTCTAAATTGAAAATCCCCATTCATCTCAAAAATACATTACTCTCTAGTGCTCTGCTCATTAGTGACTTGCTTCCAGATGGTATCAGGAAGTTCTAATGAGAAGCCGTGACCTGTGGGGTAAACCAGTCGAAAGTGAAGCGGATACCAACTGAAGACCCTGGGTGATAGTCACACTATATCGTGGATTTACAGAGGTTGGAAATTGTGAACTACTGAGGACCCACCCAGTGGCTGAGTGATCAACACATTCGACATGAAACCTGAAGGTCCTGAGTTCAGTCTCTAGCCAGGTAGTGGGTGCGTAATGCTGAGGAGTCCTATGCTAGGGTGGAACACCTGTCCGATACTCCCAGATTTCCAATGGTTCCACAACTGATGTCAGTTCATGATGAATACTACTTCTAGATTACAAATCCCTAATCACCTCAAAAATCTAAAGAAAATAGAGTTCATTATCCATCTTATTTCACATGTGAAAAAGTGGTAAAATAGTAACTAATTACAAAAAATAGGTTACTGATGTCATATAATCTTGCAGTCATAATTTACACATCTTATACAATAAGTATTACTAAATAGACAAAATCTGAGAATCGATATGAATGAATGTTATACAATATCGGTGAAAATCGAAAAGATAAATATGTATCTTGGACAATTTAATAAAGTATCGATCGATTGGTCTAAAAACTAGAAAGTTAAAATATATTTTCTCTCTCTCTGTATATATATATATATCTGTACATAATCATAGAAAATAGCAACAGAAAGAAGGCAAAAAATAGACTTTTTGAAACGTAAAACAGTGAAACTATAACATCCCTTGATTACTTTGACTATCATCACTTGAACTATCTGTTCGTGTGCTTCTTGACTTTGAACTACTACTTATATAGAATGGTATAGGTGCAATATAACTGAGGCCTATGTTACTAACATCATTTGTATTGTTAATGTCTATGCCTGTTGTTAATGTTTGATACGATTGATTATTATTCAATGCATACAACTTATGTATTGTTTTCGATGTCGTCGTTGACACAGGTGTACTTGATGACATAAATATCGATGGTGTTAGGGATGTTTGATCTTCATCAGGTGAGAAACTATTATTATTATTATTATTATTTACATCGCCCAAAGGAAATTGATGATTTGGTGTAGTTAAATTATAACCGGCTAAATTAAGTTTATGCATATAGGTATAATAATGAGGGTTGTGTAGATATTGATTTGTCGACTGGTAATATGCTGATATATCTACGTTAACACCTCCACATCCATTAGCAGTATTACTGTCAACACGATCACAGTTGTTCGACCAATGATTATTATTCACTTCTTGTATATTATTCAATATAGACGACTGTAGTTCTCTTAATGAATCAGTTGATGAAATTAAATTTTGTGAAGGTAATTCATCAGTACCATTATACACTGTACGTATATCATTATTGAATAAACTTGAACTACTGAATCCACCACCATTTGGTGGAGATGGTGTTGACCAAGAGGCATTTAAACCACATGATGTTGATTCACTGTTTGTACCACCTGTATTACTATTACTATGATTATATGTAGTATTTGTATTACAGTTTGGTAAACTTGAATTCATCATCAACTGATTCATGAAATGATATCGATAAAACGTACCACAAGAGTAAGTTGATAATGATGATGTTGTCGGTGTTAGGTCGATCTGTTGAGGTTGATGATAATTACCATTATTCTCTTCTATATTATCTTGTGGATGTATGTGTTTAGAAGTGTCATAGATATTCATTTCACTGTTTATTTTGCTATCTGTTAATGGTGAAATTGAATCTGTAGAAAATTGACTCGTACTTGTACTTGTTACTATTGATGTATGACTAAATTTCTTCATAGAATTTGTATCTTGTTGACAAGATTTTTGAAGGTCATCTGACTGATTTATTGTTACTGATTTCAATGACGATCCTGTTTTTATCTGTGGTGGTGACGATGTTGTGAAGATCATTGATGGACTTTTATTTGTTTCTAACAGATTATTGGATGCTTCATTTGGAAGCATTGATTTTATTGTTGATGTTGTTATCCTTGTCGATAATGGCTCTGTTACAATTCTGGTCATCACCGGATATTCATTATTTTCAAAGGGATTCGAACCTGGGAATATAGGCTCCATCTTAGGATTGACTTCGGGGTAGGACTGATCTGATAGATTGAACATTTATATACAGAGAAAAAAAACGATGATTACTCAAAGTATTTCATTAGGCTTTATTTTCTAAATACATATCACTTGTGCAGTTAATCATTACTGCCTAAATCCTTCAAAGAAGCTTGAAATCCCCTCAGAGCCTTCACAACTAATCATTGAAGGCTGAACACTAACGGGAAATTAGGTGCTCATGACTGTTAGTGACAGATCGGATAACGGAATTAGATTGGTAGAAAATGTTTTGCAAGAAAAAAATCAAAGCCCCTAAAAAAACATGAATGCTGTTACACTTTGCAAACTTTTTTGACTTAAAACTATACCTTTAAATCGTCTTGCCACCTTTTTCCACCTCCAAAGAACCTAATAACCCTCAAGGGTGAAGTTTTAAGTGTATTTGCCACTGGTATTATATCAATATAAAAAAATAGTATTTTTAACGTAGTAACACATTAATTTGTTGAAAAGATCCAAAGCGTAGCTAATTTTGATTTACAGACAATAACATCCCAGTAAAGATGGACACTGGCTAGCAATGGAATCCAGGATCCACATTTCCTCCTATTTAAAACTCGTCAGCTGGATGCACCTGCCTCACAGTGAGTAATGTTGTTCACACAGGGATTCCAACTCGGCAACAATCACTTCAAACGCCAGAACCTTATCCACCACACCACCGAGACACGATAGCCACTTCATGTGCGACGAGTATAGTTTAATATAATTGCTTGCATTGTACCATCGTTGACTGGACCAAATTGATCGTGTGTATTGGCATATGGGCTCTTGTGTGGATGTCTCGACATTGCCTGTGTTTTAATTATATGTAGTATAATGATGGGTAATGGTTAGCAGTAGAATCGAGGATGCACATTTCGTCCTATTTGGGACTGGTGAGCTGGATGTACCTACCACCCAGTGAGTGGTGTTGTTCCCACTGGAATTCGGACTCAGGAGCGACCGCTTTAAACACCAGAGCGTTATCCACTAGACCACCGAGCAACGATAGCCACTTCTTGTGTGACGGGTATAGTATTCATCATTACTACAACTAAAAACACAGGTTATGTCGAGTCATCCGTACAGGAGCCCATATGCCAATACACACCGATCAATTTGGTCCATCAACGATGGTACAATGCAAGCAATTATATTAAAACTATACTCGTCGCACATGAAGTGGCTATCGTGTCTCGGTGGTGTGGTGGATAAGGTTCTGGCGTTTGAAGTGATTGTTGCCGAGTTGGAATCCCTGTGTGAACAACATTACTCACTGTGAGGCAGGTGCATCCAGCTGACGAGTTTTAAATAGGATAAATGCACGTTTCAAATTTCCCTGCTAATCCCCACACATCATTGGTATCAAAGTATTTGACATAAATGTTAAATTTTAAGCTATACATCTTCATGACTATTGCATTGAACAGATTAGTCGAAGTGTAAAGCAACTATATGCACTAATGTCTGACAGTACTGTCTTCTTCATCAAACATCTTTATAGACGTGATTTATGGTTCTCGTTTAATAATATATGTCAGTTATATAAGAATATATTATGTAGAATCTTTATTCTTTTTTTCGTCACGTAACCAGTGAATAAGATTCGCGGTGTTGCATTACTGACAATAATCACTTCCATTTAGAGTGGGGGTAGGACAACTTATAGTCAGTTACATTGATTAGCCACTAAGCTCGGTGGCTCACTATCACAGTTGACTTTGGTGTATGTTAGTTGGTTGAAGGCAATCTAAAAGAAACTCATCTCGAGGTGACTAATGTCCTACGTTAGATGATCAGTGTTTATTAATCGACGCAGTGCGCCAAAAAAAAGAAAAACAAATCAGTTATATTCTACTCACCGTGTTCAGTAATTCTTCTTTTAAAATCTGTTTGCAAAAATTGACGTGAACTTGGATTATGACCCATTGTATCAGATGGTATTGGTAATGATTTATTTAGATAATTGAAATCTTTCAAAAGTGGTATCGATTTCTTGTCATACTGTTGTGATTGTACATCAGTAATTTCAAAAGATTTTACATTTTTCATATTACTTCTACGTGAAACTTTTTGAGATTGTTGTTGTTCCTGTATACATCCTTGTAGTTGTTGTGCTTGTTGTTTACGTCGTCTAGCTGCTGTATCACGGACAGGCTTTAAATCTGGTCGTATATGATCATGCGTACCTTTAGCCTGAAAATAGATTGTATCTCCATGTTCACGCCAAAAATGTGTAACCGGATAACCACCATGACCATGACACGACTGAATATATATACATCCATTACAACTAGGCATACAACATGGTCGACCTAAATGTTTGAGAAAAGTAAAACACAATGAGAAACTGATCACCCAGCATAAATATTTATTCGTAAGTAATTTACATGGTCTATGGATACTATTTACTTTACTAAACACCCTTAACACTTTGTACTATATCAGCCTCGTATGGAATACACGACCAATGTAGCTACTCATTGTTCATCTTGAATGCTACAAAAATTAAGTGTCTCCATGTTTGAAGAACTGTTCCTGGCATTCTGTATATGTCATCAATCATATCTTACAAGGTGACATATACTAGGTTTATGTTGTGAGTAAGCATTTCCCAAAATAGTCAAAAACACTTATTATCGAGTTTTTATCTTGCCAGTTAAGTGATGAAACCATTCCCCAAAAGTTTTACTTTTTTCCTCCATTATATTCAACTTTATTATTATTATTTGTCCCTTGGGTTCCTAATGGAACATAGGGCTTCAGTAGCACGTCTTCATTCCACTCCGTTCTCTGCAAACTTTTGAACCTCGCTCCATGACAGCCCACAACCTCTCATTTCTTCCTCACAAGATCCCCTCCATATCACCCTCACCTGGGACACCCAAATCGTTGCTTTCCATCTGGGTTCCACTCGAGTGCCTGACCTGGCGTGTGATGTCCCCAATCGGCTTTCTAAGTGTATACACAATCCATCCCATCTCCACTCCATTCTCCTGCATATTTGTTGAGTGATAGGTTCTTGTTTCATTGGTTCGTTGACAGCCAGAATTCCTTGTTGCTTATTGTCATTATTCTGGCCATCTGATCTGATCTTCAGTATGGAGCCAGAGTAGGTGGCAGCTGTTGATGAATATCTGTAGTTTGTTGGAAATGCTTTTCGTGACGCTCCAAGTCTCTGATCAGTCTATAGCAATTATATATATTATTTGAGGTTTATGGGGATTTTATCTATTTCATGATAGTATTCATCACAGATTAAGATCAGTTGGAGAACCGTTGTAAGCTTGGGAACATTAAACAGCTGTTTTGTTCTAGTATGAGACTCTTAAGCAGTACTTTCCCATAACCCCATCAGGAATCGAACTCAGAACCCTGGAGTTCCGCTGCGAATGCATTGACCATTTAAATACTGGATCGGAATCTAATGGTACATGGTCTGCTACTTCGCAAAATTTGGCGATTATCCACCAATTTGATTGACCAGAGAGGTCAAACTTAACGTATGCATCGTGAGATCTGAAGGTTTTGAGTTCGATCTCTGTTGGCGTTGTGGGTGTGTACTACTCAGGAGTCATATACTACGAAAAACACATACTGTTCAATGTTTCTAGGTTTTAACTGTTTTCTAACTGATATCAGTCTGTAATGCGTACTAACCTAAACATATGTCGTAATGATGGATAATGGTTGGCAATGGAATCCAGGATCCACATTTCCTCCTATTTAAAACTCGTCAGCTGGATGCACCTGCCTCACAGTGAGTAATGTTGTTCACACAGGGATTCCAACTCGGCAACAATCACTTCAAACGCCAGAACCTTATCCACCACACCACCGAGACACGATAGCCACTTCATGTGCGACGAGTATAGTTTCAATATAATTGCTTGCATTGTACCATCGTTGACTGGACCAAATTGATCGGTGTGTATTGGCATATGGGCTCTTGTGTGGATGTCTCGACATTGCCTGTGTTTTAATTATATGTAGTATAATGATGGGTAATGGTTAGCAGTAGAATCGAGGATGCACATTTCGTCCTATTTGGGACTGGTGAGCTGGATGTACCTACCACCCAGTGAGTGGTGTTGTTCCCACTGGAATTCGGACTCAGGAGCGATCGCTTTAAACGCCACCACCAAGCCACCATCAGGAGCCCATATGCCAAAGAGGCTCATCAGTTCGATTCAATCAACACTGGTGTAATGCAAGCAATAACATTTTAACATATATCATTATTTATTCAAATTTAACGAAGGAGATGAAACTTCTCATTAAATATTTAATATGTTTACTTGACTTTGTCATCATTGTTTTCAATTGTATACACACGTATTTGTGTGAGAAAGAGGAATGGCATAAGGTTCTTCACTTTTTGCATCGTTTACAGATGACTCGTACTCATAATAAGACATGCACATGGTCGTGTGTCAATAATAATAACAATTATTATTATTATTATTATTATTATTATTATTATTATTATTATTATTATTATTATTATATCAGGGATACTGAAACTTTGAACATGTTTAAATGAAGTCGGAAAGAAATTAAATTAAATTGTATATATTAGAATGAGGTGTGAAAGTGTTTCATTTTATTTCAAACCCTTTTGTTGTTGTCGAATCAAAGGGGTTCCTTCTTTGATATTTTATCAAAAGAAAAAAAATATCCCTAAAAGAAACTTTATTATTTATCATCTGGTTTGACTATACATATACACAACAGTTTATATATAACTGTGTTGTAGTTTATAAATATACACACATAAATAAGCATGTGTGTGTGTGCGTTCAGGCTTTGTCAACATTCGGTTTTAATTGAATTTCGACGGGTTTGTGGAGATTTAGAGAGATTTCAAGTAGTATTCATCGTAGACTGACATCACTCAGAGGAAAAATGGGAGCACTGGACAACTGTTTCGTTCTAGTATGGGACTCCTCAGCAAAGCAAGCCCACGACCCCACCAGGGATCGAACCCGAGAACTTCAGGTTCTGTGGTCAGCACGTTGCCATCGAGCCACTGGGATGGAATCCATTGGTCCATATTTCCAACTTCTGTCAGTTCACGGCATAGCGCAACCGTCACATAATGTCATCGTTGAGTATTTGTCCTCACGGCTACCAGGTTTGCCCCACTGGTTACGACTTCTCGAAACTAGTCACCAATGAGCATCAGGGTGGCGGTCACGATATGTTGTGAACTGATAGAATTTGGAAATATGGAACAGTGGCTCAATGGCAACGTGCTGGCCACGGAACCCGAAGGCCACGGGTTCGATCCCTGGCGGTGTCTTCGGTGCACGCTGTTGAAGAGTCACATACTAGGACGAAACAGCTGTCCGGTGCTCTCACGTTTCCATTTTTCCTCCGGCTGATGTCAGTCTACGATGAATATTAACTTGAAATGTCTCGTTTTAATTAACCAGCTGACTTATTGATCAGATTGATAACCTTATTCAACTTTGAGATAGTATTCATTATTTAATTCATCATTTAAACTTTATTACAAGAAATGAACTTACACAATAGGTGGATTGACTTCATGTTAAGATGATGATCTGAGATGATTCTTACACGAATCTATGTTACTGTTTTATTTATACTGGGTGAATATTGAAGGTGAGCTGAAAATCCGACCACGGTCCAGATATGAACAGCTGGTTACTGTCCAGTGACCCATCAATGAACCTAATCCAAACGAACAGGAAATAAATTCCAACCCGAATAGCTTAGTGGTAAAGTGACTGACTCCAAGATAGGGTGACGCGGGTTCCTATCTCATAAAGACATCAGTTCCTTCGAGGTTCTAGATACTCTTTGATGATGGGTACCAACAAGCACGAAACCTACGTTCAGGGCTTCTTGTCTATTGCCTCCATCCAACTAACGTCTATCGAACTGGACCGCAGTGATGGGTCTGTTAGCCTCGTGGTTGATGTGATATTTGTAAGTTAGACGAACTGAGATAGCAACCTGCTCTTCGTTTTATTGGATCAGAAGAAGTTGTTGAATAAAGTTGAAGAAAAAACCCTAGTTGTAACGCGATTTGAACTAAAAACATTCAGATTACCCATCTGGAATTCTGCTAACTAATCTACAGGACCTTAGTGTCCAATCAATTTTCAGTAAATTATCCATCCAATTTGAAAAATAATTTATTGTTAATGAGATACTGGATTTTAGGCGACAAAAGTTCAATATCAACATTCTGTGCTCATAGAGAAATAACATTAGACGAATTCTTTCTCTTAGTATTATTGCTTTTAGCGTACCGTCGTTGATTGGACCGGATTGATCGGTGTGTATTGGCATATGGGCTCCGGTGTGGATGCCTCAATATTGCCTGTGTTTTAAATATAAACAGTAATGATGGATAGTGGTTAGCAGTGGAATCGAGGATGAGCATTTCGTCCTATTTGGGACTAGTGAGCTGGATGTATCTACCTCCCAGTGAGTGACTTTGTTTTCACCGGGATGCAAGAGGCAGGTACATCCAGTTGACCAGGACGAAATGCGTATCCCCGATTCCATTGCTAACCACTATCCATCTTTACTATAATGAGGATTTCTGTCTGATACCCGAACTGTCCATTGAGCAATCTGTAACCAGTGACCGTTTATCTGATATCAACTGTGGCTAATTAGTCCAGACATCTAACTTGCTTCAGATAATTTGTAGTATCAAACTTCTCTTTGCCTATCGAGCTACTGACGGACAGATAAATAACTTAATTAGTTACGGCTTATAGAATGGGTTTGGTCACACATGCATTTGGTTGCTGAATGCATTTTGACCTGATTTTTTTCTCTCTCCCTAATACAGGATCAAGACAGAGAATTCTCAATAAACTTGTGTATATATAAACTTTTTTTAAATAGGAAAATAAAGTGAACTTACCTTCTTGTCTTTTTCTTGCTTTATCGCATATAGCTGGTCGCATAGCTAATGTACACTGTTTTGATGTACACAATAGTACACCTAAACAAGATTTTTTCAATATTTGTGAATTATGATTATTTGTATTACGCATTGCCCAACCACTAGCATGACGTCGTGCACCTTCTGATTGTGATTTTTTATACGCATAACGACAATGTCCTTGTGGCCACATTGTAAATGTATCAAAATGGCGAATCTGAAATAATAATTTTCAAAAATTGTCAGAGAATAATAAGAAAAAAGAAAGAAAACATCAATATAAATAAGTATGGATTAGATCTCCTGAGAGAAGTAGATGGCTGGAATTAGTCGACCTCTGTTGATAGATAGGCTCCTTTTCGGATACCTCCATATTGCCTGAATATTTATCATTATAAGTGACTTGGTTATGGTTAACAGTGGAATCGCGAACTCGAATTTTGTTCCATTTTGGACTTGTCAGCCGGATGTACTCGTCGTGCAAAAAGTGGCTATCTTGCCCCAATGGCCTTGTGATTACAGTTTAGTAGTCCTGACAACTATGGTCAACCAATATTAAGTAATAAGTCAACAAACTGAAACTACAACCACTAAGGTCAACATAAGCCTCAAACAAGAGGAGTTAAAAATTTGGGACTCTGTCATTCAGTTCACTTTTTGGTATGTAGTTCGATTCTCTGTGTAAAGACTCATAACAGTTAGTGAACTGTCAATCCATTTTCAAATTTCGGTGATAATCGCTAGTCAATAAACAAAACACCAATAAATAGGTCTTGATAAATCGTTTTTGTTACTATGGTCTTTTGTCTTCATTGTTACCATCATGTGTACTTCAGGCGTTAAGAAAATGATGTATCACTTAGGTAATAGTGATTTTATTGTCACTCAAATATTAAATTGATGCCAGTTAAAAAATCCTTCACTCTGAGTTAATTCCTGGTTCCAGTTTTTCCAAATAAATCCCTTTAGTTTAAAAAAAATTCAGTTGAGAGTTTCAATGAATAAGTTATAAATAGATTGACAGTAATACCACTGAAAGATTAAATCAAGTTAGTAACCCAGAGGCCAATAGTTTTCTTTTGAATTTATGCTGTAATTTAGTCATTTGACGGCTAACTCATCTCTACCTTAAAAGTGAGAACAGCTACGTATACGAATTAATTTACTTTCAAATAAATGTGAATAACCGAAACGTTCATTTATATTTACTTTTTCAACTGATGTATTTATTATGATAATTTAGTCGGTTGTGACTAGCAGAAGAATCCAGGACGCGGGTTTCGTCCTATTTGGGACTCGTCAGCTGGATGTACCTGTACCCAGTGATGTTGTTCCCACTGAGACTTGAACCTCGTACCTATCGCTTCTAACCAGGAAGGGTTTCATTATTCTGATGAGATGGGATTTGGTCTAGCAGGAAGTACTCAAACTAGATTTCCTGTTTGTTAGCGTCTCTGAATTCATGAGGTACTCCCTCCGTGATTGCAACCTATTCTACTGATTGAAGAACTCACAGTTTGAACTACTGAGCTACTCAGGTCACTTTTTATTCATAGAATTAGGACATTGAAACACTTGATCATACTTTCAAGCTTATGTTACATAGTTTAACGGAAACACCAATGAAACTATCTAAGATAGCTAGAGTTTGGCAGACTGGTATTACTAGTACTGAGTGATGAGTAGAAGTGAAGTAAAATCCTCTGTTGAGGGGGGGGGGCGGAGCTGTCAAAAACTTACGGCCCTTGGGTTACCGGATTGGTGCTTTGCCAACCGAGCTACGAGACACGACTACTAGTCAGGTGATATAGGCTACCAAAAGAGTTTCTACTTATGTGGTGAATTGCGTACTTGTTATTCTTTGAATGCCATCAACTATATTATCATATAACATTGACTTTTGGTATTTATGATAAAAATCATGAAAAATTACCACATACCTTAGGCAATTTTGGATCATTTACATCCCATTGTGATAAATTTGTGTCATTATTCAATAATAGAGTGTCGCATATATTTGAAGTATTGTTCAGTAAACAGTCTTGTTTTTCATTCGATTTAGACGTTTGATAGATTGTGCCAATCTGTTTATTTATATATGGAGCGGGTGATTCGTTTAGAAAACTTGGCAATGAAACATTGATATTCGGTGGTGGAAGATGTTGTGAACGACTTCTCTGTTGTTGGTGAGGATAAGCATAAATATGATCTCTAACAACTTCTTTAGGATAGAAGTGTTCAAAAGTTGACACTGTCGGATATTGATTTAGTTGTGGTTGATGATGACTGTCAGTTGTAAAGGTATTCAATGAGTAACTGGATGCAATAGTACTGGGTGTAGTTGTTGTACATATCTGTGGTATAGGAAATGTCGATGCATTCTCATAAATATGCTGGTGTGATGTAGTTGAATATGGGTAATTATGACTCGGAATTTGATGCTTAGCACCAGTCAACTGTTCACGTAAGTAAACATCACGAAAGTAGTCAGTGTCTGTGAAGCCCTGACCGTTGATACTGGGTGCTTCGCAAACTTCCATTATCAGGGTCGGAAAAAACTCCTTAAGGGAAAATGATGGTCCCTTAACTTTTGCTACTGCTTATATATCATGCGGGTGATACCTGCTTGTAAGAGGACCTTTTTTTCATTGGCTAATAATTCGACCAATAGGAATTAAATTCCCTTTTCAGAGACGCTTGATTCACCACGACCAATCAGATAATTCCATCATCATTCTAATGCCAGGTTAAGCGGATCAATTGGAAGCATTGGAGAGGAACAAAATATTTTCATACCTCCAATTAATATAGTAGAAAAATTATTCTTATTCTCTTTTGATAAGTCCCTTCAAACAAGAGAAGTTAACTGTTTACTGATAACATGAAAACACAAATCGGAAGTGGTTTTTAACCATTTTTAATAGTCGAACGGTGATAGAATATTCACTAGACTTTACGTGTGATCAAATTCTTTTGTTTTTGCTTTTTGGCACCATTTTGCTGGAGGAAAAGGAGTGCGGTCATCGCTTTGTCCATTTCTTAAAAGTAAAAGTATGTTTTCTTTGATAGATTATCATTATTTGTCCCACAATCTTTCAGTTTTCCCTCACATAGCCTCCTCCATGTCACCCTCTGATGGGACGCCCAACTTGTCCTTTCCTATTCCCATTCCACCTGACGACTTGACGCGTATTGTCGCCGAATGGTCTTCTCAGTGTATACACAATACAATCCATCTCCACTCCATTCTCCAGCGTATTTGTTGGGTGATGTGTTCTTGTTCGGTTAGTTCGTTGTCAGCTAGCCAGCCACAGCGACTTCCTTCATGCTTATTCTTATTATTCTGGCCATCAAATCTCCATCTTCACTATCGAGTGAGCGTGGTCGTTAGCTGCTGATGATGTATGTCGGTGGTTTGTTGGAAGTGCTTTTGATGACGCGCCACTTCTGTCAACCATCACATAGAAGCACTGATTTACTCGACTGACATTGGTGTGGAAGACCCAGATCTAGTTCACGCTTTACGCTGAGTGGAGTGGATCTCTCACTGGTTTTAGGTTGATGAAGGAAGGCCTGTCTTGCCATCTTTCTTGTACCTGTACCGCCACCTGTAGTTGAAATGATGCTGCCTGGTGCGTAGGTAGGTGAAACAGACAACTTGTTTTAGATTTCTCCCATTGATGGTGATCGTTGTTGTTGATGATGATGTTGTTGTTGGGTGGGTGGGTATCTTCATCATCTGTTCACCTGAAGGAAGTGCCGTCTTCGCTGCCCTGCTCTGCCCTACCTCTTCTACCAACTTGTTGGTTCACACCTGTAGATCTTCGAGTTTGTGTGACATAAGACATTAGACATAAATCGTGATTGGCGAAATGCAACAAAAGGATTTCAGTGTGCATTTCTGTTCAGTGGTATTCCATAGCAGGTTTCTGTAACATAAAAGAAACTGATGATGCCTCCATGGCCTACACCTATGTCGGTTAGTCACAAACTAACAACAGCTACCATTTGAATAATGTAATTAGATGACGTAGATTATCTAATAATCTATGTCTGACCACTCACCAGGTTTTTAACAAAATACATATGCAGTTTTTCGTTGCAGGAATGAATATGATGAATTTTAGTCTAGTGATTGTTGCTTTCGGTAGAAGTTACTAGTGGAATCTAAATGCAGAGGTGCGGGTCACTAGTTCAACCGTGTGAATTTTAAATAATGGATACAGTTGTAGTCATCTTTGTGACTACTGCTGGTCATTAAGATGAATGCAAAATCATGAATATCCGGCGGTATCGAGGCTTCCGCATAGAAGAGGCCATCTGGCAACAGAGGTCAAGCAATTCAACCTTGCTTGGTAACAGGTAGTTACAAGTATCAAAAGACTATTGGGTACTGTTTCCAGATCATGTACGCCTTGATTCAGTTACAACAGACACTTGGTATCAGTAGTCTTCATACAATAGTTATGTCTCGTGGTGTATTCCATAAGTACCTGAATGTCAATGTACTGGTGTTTTCACTGAGACTTGAACTAAATAATCATGACCACAAATGTCCCAATATTATGTACCAGGCTATTGGATGAACTATAACACCAATTTCTTCTTTAGTGCTAACTTAGATTCAGGTATCCCGGCTGATAGGTCATACAATATACAAATCGCTTATATTATGTTCCATTGACGGTCGTCACCAACAGTAACATCAGTATCAATAACAGTAAACTTGAAAGTAATTAAAATCCCTAGAAAACTTTTATTCCTCACACTATCTAACAGTTTATTTCAAAATCGTCCTCTAAAAATCAACATCCTCAGAGAACAAGTAAATCAACATTGTACGGTTAACACTTTTTTTCAGTCAGTTTGTTGTACACTTAATTATCTATGTAATATTACCGCTCATTACAATGTTCTTATCCCTTTTAAGGGAACACAGGACTCGATTGGACTGGGTCATGCAAGAAACTGTGGGGAACTATGAGAAGATGGCAATACACTATTTGACCGATGAAAAGACCATAGAAGACTGGCATTTCGCTGATCATGATCATTTCGCTGATGATCATGATGTCTAATGTCTTAGGAAACACAAACTCGAAGATCTACAGGTGTGAACCAACAAGTTGGTAGAAGAGGTAGGGCAGAGCAGGGCAGCGAAGACGGCACTTCCTTCAGGTGAATAGATGATGAAGATACCCACCCACCCAACAACAACATCATCATCAACAACAACGATCACCATCAATGGGAGAATCTAAAACAAGTTGTCTGTTTCACCTACCTACGCACCAGGCAGCATCATTTCAACTACAGGTGGCGGCATAGGCACAGACACATTCGGATGAGCATGTCAAAGCCAGGATCGGAAAGACGCCAAGACAGGCCTTTCTTCATCAACCTGAAATAATCAGTGGAAGATCTACTACACTCCAGTTCACTCCACTCAGCATAAAGCATGAACAACATACGGATTTTCAACACTAATTCAGTCAAGGAAGTCAGTGCTTCCATGTGATGATTGAGAGACTTGGTGAGTCACCAAAACCATTTTCAACAAACTACAGACATGCATCATCAACAGCTGAGTATCAGATGGCGAGAATAATGAGAATAAGCAATAAGGAACTCAATCTGATCTGGCAACGAACCAACCGACGAATAACCTATCGGCAGACAAATATGTAGGCTAATGGAGTGGAGATGGATTGGACTGGATTGTGCATACACTAAGAAGACGATTTAAGGACATCACGCGCCAAACCAAACCAGGCCGTCAAGTGGAATGGGAAAGGACGAGTTGGGCGTCCTGGGTGAGGATGACATGGAGGAGAGGAGATGGTTTGAGGAAGAAATGAAAGCTTGTAGGAAGTAATGGAGCCGGTTGAAAAGACTGGATAGAAGAGTAGAGAGCGAAATGGCTGTGCTACTGAAGTCATATGTTCCACTAGGAACCCAAAGGACTAATAATTGGAATAATATAGAAGTATCATTTTAAATTAAAAATCCCCATTCATCTCAAAAATACGATAGTAATAATAAACTCCATGTGTCCATTGACAAAACTGGAAATTATTAAGCAGAAATATACCATAATATTGACTGGATTCCCATTAATCATTCGATGAATATCAATTTTCAGTCCATAAATCAACTTCATAATAGTGGGTTATTACTAATGCTACTACTAAAACAGTTCTGAAAAAATCTGAACTAACATTTAGATTTACTGATAACAAAAGTCTTGACCAATCTGTCAGCAATGAATTATTCATTGATTTGTATATTATGGTGTTCGAAACCCTAACCCTAACTGCATTCATCGTTGTGGTACATACATTTCAGTCTACCAACTGTATAAGTCTGCGGTAATATCATGTTCTTTACCAGCTAAGTTTATTCTTTAGTGCAAGTGAAAGTAGAACAGGTAAAGCAGGTTGAAAGGTGAATCATTATCTCAGGAATAAGGTTTACAACGATGTTAAGGGAAAAATGAAGACGAGAAATGCAAACTAATTTGAGGTGTTAGGAAAAAGATCACATTAACTATCATCGCTCATAGACAGATATTTACAATGTGACCAGCTGTGAGTTCGATTACTAATTTTAGATGGGTCACAGGCTTCATTCGTCACAGTTTCCACCATTTTGAAATAACTTTTGAAATCTATCCTTACTGCATTTAGACATGTGAAAAGTCTATAAGAAATCCTCTGCATGACTGCAGCGTGAATGGGAATGACATCTACTACAGGCTAAAAAGGGTCTGACACACATCCACACCCAATATAACCAACATGACAAAACAATCCAGTAAATAATAACCTCATAAACATTTTGACTATCTAAGATAGCCGTGATTTAGTATACTAGTATTGATACTGGGTAGTGATGATTGAAGGTGAAATGATAATTCTCACTACGGTGGGATTCGAAGCAGCAACTACCGAGTTTCCGAACTGATGCTCATTAAGAAAGTATCAATAAGCTCAGTCGAATAGCTTCAAGGATTTCTTTCAATTGGATTCAGTAGGTCTTAACTACTCCATGATTGCCAACTGCCTTTCCCTGCTTTATCTCAAATATTTCTGATGAAAATCCATCTCTTGTCATTGTCTCACAGGTTTATTCCTCAACCTTAACCTTAAGTAAGCCTGTTTTTCTCTTTCAGAAGTCAATCACATGTTGTCAAGTAGTAGGTTAAGGGGATTCAAGTTCGCACTGTGAGCACCAATAACAACAATATAATAACAAGAATAATTAATAGTGATAATAACAGTGATAGTAAAAATACTGTCTGTCATATAAATTAATCTGAAATCACAAGATTGACATTATCTATTATTATCATAGACAAATCATCAAGTGTAAAAATGTTAAACAAGTCGTTATATTTCAGTATCCAACGTGACTTACTTTCTTTTATGATTCCCCTCACCCCTGTATCCGCTCACTTCATCATTTGTGAATGTAGTGGGTGCAAATTAATTCAAGTGTGAACAGATTGAGCATGCAAACATACACATATACAGAGAAAACG